AGATAAAGATAAAGATAAAGATAAAGATAAAGATAAAGATAAAGATAAAGATAAAGATAAAGAACTTGGGAGCAGGATTTGCAACACTATGCCCAGCCTTGCCTGATAAATTCTCTCCTCTTTTATTTCTTCATTGGGCTGTTCCCTGATACATATATATATATATATATATATATATAACTTATATATATAACTATTAGCATATAAATGTCAGCAATTCTCTTGTTGCAACCTGGCTCAGGTAACCTTTCCTCTGAAAAACAGAAAAATGTTCCTCTGCCAGTCACACTCTTTTTTTTTTGTTTGTTTTCTTGGGGGTTTTTTTTGGTTTTTTTTGATTTTTTTTTGTTTTGTTTTGCCACTACTGCAAACAGCTTAGGGACAGAACACAGCTGGATGGACAGCTTCTCCAAAAGACAAATGCAGATTCAGCTGAGATCTGAGTGTCACAGATTGTCAGATTAGGAATTTTTAAGTCTGAAATTTTGCTCATGAAGAGGGAAGCCGGGTTTCTAACTGAATATTAAAAACTGGTGATGATTTCAGTGTTCCCAGTCCCCTCTGGTGCCCAGCACACCCACCCACCACAGGGAGGGACTCGAGCAGCTCAGCAAACACTAAAACATCTTGCTTTTCCTCTAAGCTTAGCTATTAAATAAAGCCACTATGGGATAAAAGCTACACTAGTYAGGCCTCTCACTATTTTTTGCTATTTTTCTTTTTTTTTTTAACAGCAACTTCTCTAAGAACAGAACATCAGTAAGGTGTTCACTAATGTGAACTATCCCATTGGTCGTAATAGCAGGAAAGTTTTTCAGAACTTTAATATTTCTCAGGACATAAGTCTTTTGGGAGTGTCACTTCCAATTTCTGGCTCTGTAAGCAAAGACACCATTCTCTTACCTAGATTACTCACTATTTTTTGCTGTTTTTCTTTTTTTTTAACAGCAACTTCTCTAAGAACAGAACATCAGTAAGGTGTTCACTAACGTGAACTATCACATTAATCTTGATGGCAGGAAAGTTTTTCAGAATTTTAATATTTCTCAGGACATAATTCTTTGAGGAGTGTCACTTCCAATTTCTGGCTCTATAAGCAAAGACACCATTCTCTTACCCAGATTACTCACTATTTTTTGCTATTTTTCTTATTTTTAACAGCAGCTTCTCTAGAATCTGTCAGCTCTCTGTCTAAGAACATAACATCAGTAAGGTGTTCACTAACATGAACTATCACATTGGTCTTAATAGCAGGAAAGTTTTTCAGAACTTTAATATTTCTCAGGATATAAGTCTTTTGGGAGTGTCACTTCCAATTTCTGGCTCTATAATTAATTAAATTTAATATTTCTCAGGACATAAGTCTTTTGGGAGTGTCACTTCCAATTTCTGGCTCTATAAGCAAAGACACCATTCTCTTACCTAAATTAATTGTTGCTGAATCATCTATAGCACCACAAGGTAGAGTCAAATCTAAACACTGGGTGCATTTTTCTAGTAATTTCCTTGAAGTCTGAACAAGGGCACCATCACCAGCAAAAAGTTCAAATTCCCAGGGGCTGACAGTTCCCAGCTTTTTAAAAACAYTGAGTTTTGATTCTTTGTTGATTCAGGCTCCTTACAAATGCAAGCTCATTTAGTATTCATGAAGAATAAATTTTCTCCAAACTGTCTGGAGGAATTTCACACTTCACACATTTTTTTCCTCTATGGGTACATAAGAGAGATTTTTTCTGTTTTCTCCAGACATTTCAAACACACCACACTCCTGCTACAGCACTTACAGGTCTTTGGAGAGCAACATTCTAAAATGTTACCAAAACAGATGAGCTTGAGCAGGGATTAAAAAGAGACCACAACATTAGACTGAGCTCAGCAACGGCCTCTCAGAGCTGTGCTGGCATCAAACCAGGATTCTAAATCAGAAAGATATGAGGGATGAGAAAGGGCTGTGTAACTAAAGCTGTTAAAACAAAAATAAACAGCCACGATAAAATTAACTCCATTCAAAGCAGGAAACAAATTGTTTCTRAACAGCTTAAAATGGCAGGGGAGAAAAGGGA